TAATCAATTTTTCTCTTATAAAAGATTTTTTAAGTAAATTTTAATACTTATATATTTCCACAATTTTTTGTTAAACTTTTAACATGTTTCGCTAAACTTTAGCTTCATCAGAAAGATTTTAGAAAAATAAAATGTAGACATAAAAGTGAAATTGACAAATATAAAAAAGGTAAAAGCTGGTCTAATTTTATGTTAATTTAAATAGGTATTACACAGTAAATAAATTTAAAAGTGGTGAATTGTTTAAATCTAATTGGTCGTTCAATAAACAGTCTAAAGTTTTAAGTTTGTTTATTTCTAAAGATTCTAGAAGATTTAATTTTATCCCTTTCTTTTCATTATGTAGTATTTGAAATTCATTATTAAAATTATGATTTGATTCTATCTTTTCTGAGCTAACAAATCAAACCGCCCATTGTTATTTGAAATTTATGGAAACCTATGAAAGGATATTGTATCCCTTGCACTATACTGCCACAATTAACAACTAAACAAACTCTAGGCATGTCCAAGAAACTTCTGGATCACACAAAAGATACTTATTTCAAAAAAATCTAACTAAAAACTTAAAAAACGCTGTAAATTATATCTTTGTTTTACCCTTTTACCTCAAGGCGACTGTCAATTGTGTCAAACTGTCAGATCGTATACTTGCCCTATTTTGTTAAGAATTGCTAACCCTACAATTCTATCCATGTTGTCTGACTGGGAAAATAAGTGCCGAAAATCGTCACTGCCTCCTAGACTATTGGCTACAGTTCACGCATTTCTCAGTATTATTATTACATTTCCTTGTCTTATGATCTTCTCCGCATTTTCCACAAACAGGTTTTTCAATGGTGCAATCGTTGGCAATGTGCCAAACTTCCAGCAATTATAACACTGAATCATATTTACATGATCCACATATCTGCAAGTCCTTCATCCTATATTTATTGTTTTCTTAGAAGAGTCGATTGCAAGAATTATATTTGTCTTTTCTTCTTTGGTTTCATATTTGAATATCATTCTTAATGTTATTTTACTGTCTTCCGTCGTTATTTTGTTTTATTATTTTTTCTATCAAAATTTGTTCATTTACTTTTTTTTCATTTGCCCCGTAATTTTCATCTAATTGTTTCTCAATGTTTGGTTGTAAAATTTTGGACTTACTTTCACTATTGCAGGTTATTGCTATATTTGACTCTAGTAATTCCCATGCCTAACGCTGATGGGTCAATCTTCTCCTCTACTGCTTGCTTTGTAATTTCACTTGTTTGGTTCTTATCTTTTGGTTTTATTATGACAACACTTTCAGCTACTTTTTTCATTTTAACTTCTCCATTGTATGTAGGTACTTATTTCTCTTCCTTTAACTTGAGATTTTTGACTTCAGTCTTAAGATTTTGAATTACTTCTTCCTGCTATTCTATTATTTTATCTTTACCATCCAATCTTGCTTTCAATAAATAACTCTTTAATACTAGGTGCAATTTACAAACCACAGGATTATCAGTATAATGAACTTTTAAATATTCTCGACAGGGTCTTTTACAAAATCAGCAGCCAAAAAAAAAATCATTTATATTTGGTGATCTTAATATAGATTTTTCAAAAACCAACATACAACCTGAAACTGGCCCCAGAACTCAAGACTCCAACCATCGCCTTCGCGACCCTAAAAAGCAGCCCTGAGGCTACAAACTGAATTTGTTAAGGTGGACGTCGAAAATTGCTACAAACATTGGCGTTTTATTTTTGTCGTCGCTGAAACAACCGAAAAAGGCCCCAACAACCTACGAACCCCCCTTTTTCGTTAACATGGCGCCCTGGGGCGCGTTCAGATTGAAGAGTCTGGGCGACGTCCAGTGCAGAGCGTACCCGATAGAGAGTGCACTCCGAGTGTGCCTGGCGATTCGCCCAATCTGAACGGCCAAAACGCATTCTCTCCTCATAACATCACTATTTATGGGTTGCTTTGATTTTGATTTTGTTGCCTTTTCAAAATTCACCGTGTTCGTGATTCTAACATTTTTGTAAAATAAGAAAAAAGAAAATTCAAAGATAATCAACTCTTATTTTATTTTATTTTGATTTTTTTGGTAGAACTTATCACATATAAAATAATACCTCTTAACCCCTAATTCTTATTTTAATTTATTTCCTATTTTATTTTATTTGTTGGATAAACTCGCCATAACTCCCAACAATAATATTTACAATATTTGCCTTTATTATTGGTTAGAACATAAACAATAACACAAACGCGCATGCGGGGCAAATTTTATCTTACTATTTTATGGGATGCAAAAGTGTGCGTCGGGGTGTCGTCAGGTAAAAATCTACTGACAATCTGAACGGCTGGGTAAATTTTACCCAAAGCAATCTGAACGGTCAGAGCGCGCTCGGGCGACAACCGACGTTCAATCTGAACGCAGCCCAGACGTGAGGCTAGAAGCATCGAAATAGAGGTATTCTATGGACAGAAGCAACACAGATAAGTACAATCACAAATCTCCTAGTGCAGTCTTTTCATGATTTCCATAATTTTGGTTGGATATTTTGAAAAAATTTAACCATGAAACTGTTCCGTTCCAAACAATCGCAATCCAACAAGTTCCGACGATTTGCTTTGGTGTTGCCCGATGTGTTATTGTACAGGTTTTAGTACAATTATTTGATTGTGCCTGTGAACGTTGCACAGTGCGGCGGATTTGAATTCTAGCGGGACAAAACCGAATTTTTTAGAAACAAGGTAAAAAAAGTTTGTTGATAAGAATAGATAGTAGACATTCTAATTGATATAAAAATTCAACAATTATTGTTATGGATTGTATATTCTTTGTATTTTGATAAGCTTATATCAACCCAATTTGGTCGTTTTCTGCTCAGCTTGGCAGAAGTCATACGAAAATAAAAATTTATTAGTACGAATACGTTCTATTCAAAAACCAAATTATGTTGCAGATTGGTAAAGGTGAGTACTTTTATACTGTAGTTATTTTATTCTCGAAAAAGCTCCGCGACTTTGTTCTACAGATATCAAACTTTCACGTTTTTTTCAATTCTCGCCATATTGGGTGAAGTAGATCTGTTGAGTTACCAATAGTTACCACCAAGTATTGAGCAATTTTGATGCTACAATATTTGTAGTTTCTATGCTCATATTTTTTTTTACCGCACGTTGCCGCACCACTGAAAAAAAATAAAAAAAATTCAGGAGTCTCGCACCGGTTCTTGGGGTTAGAAGCTGCAAAGCCGGTCTGAAATGAACGTCGAACAGATTCATTATATGATGTCTTATTAGTTCCCTTTGATTTTCCATGGTGGTGTTTCACAAACGTTCACAAACGAAACGTTATAACCAAATAGAATGAATTCTTATTTATTATTTGTTCATGTTTTAAACTTTATCAATATAAGTACTATACCAGAATTCTCAATCTCTCAAAAAATTTATGTTTATTTGGGTTGGGTTCCTGTGGGTATGATAAGGCTAAAATTTTGTAGATCGGTAGTAAATTCAGTTAAAACACAATATCATTATTAAAATTATTGTTCTAGAACATTCCTATTCCAATTTATGTATGAGGTGGGAAGGCAACAATCTTTACACTCAGTATAATTTTACATACTAATATTATAAATAACAATTATTTCCCTTATTAAAAAAAAAAATGAGTGTCCCTGTAATTTTTACATTTAAACGTGCTGGATGTGGAAACTGCTCATCATGTGCACACTATAACAATATATCACTGCTATAGGATCCTAGAGTCTTTTAGGTATCATTGCCACCAAAAGTTTCTGGGAAAAAAATATTGCAGAATAATCTCCTGGACTAATTCTTCCGTCATTCATTTCAATGCTTTTAATTCATAGTTTGACAAATATTTGACAATAAAATTCATATAATAGTACAAGAGCTAATATGATACTGTCCCAGTTACTTTTGGTGACGATGGTACATGGTACATTATACAGAGCGCATAATACCTCTGTTACCTGTTACTTTTCAATTACCTCGTATACAGAAAAGTGACCTTGATGAAAGTTGCTCAGTACATTATTCCCTATATTTCTACCTGTATAAAATATGTCTTGTGTCATTTTTGGCTTGGTTGCCATCCAAAACAACTTTGTTTTTTCAAATAGAACGTCCTCTTTTCTTCTATAGTGAGACAACTATGAATTTCTTGTAGTTTTAATTTCCACGTATTTTCAACTGCTTAGTTAAAAAATAAAAAAATAAAAAACAGCAACTTTCATCAGGATCACTTTTTCGTATACGAGTAACTAAAACGTTACAGGTACTATAAGCGACTTTTTTGCCACTTTCTATATGTAAATGGAATAAAATCATCGAATAAAATACATTTTTATTTCTTCATGTCATTTAAATAATACACCCGCAGGTTTATGGTCACAAAAAATGTACCCATGTTTTTTGGCAGTTTCAGTGAATTTAAAAAAAAACGTTGTACGATATTATATGAACAAAATAACAACCAACGATTTTACCATTTCAGTCCGGGTAGATTCAACAAATGATCTATTACTGTGCGCCTTTCTGCACTAACCCATAAAGCTAAAAAACAAAGCAAGCTACAAAAATACATATGGATACTATTTTTTGATATTGAAGTCTAAAAAAAATGCTACTGAGGTTTTGTCCCGCTAGAATTCAAATCCGCATCACTGTGCGTTGCCAACTCTGCGTGATGTCGTTTCTATAGTTTGTACAATCCAGTACATTTATTTGTACTATTATTTTTGCCAAAATATTAACAAGGTTACCTTGCTACTTGTTGCTACCTAGAGCTTTCAGCTAAAATCTTTATTATTATTATTACTAAATAACAAAATATGTTCATAAACAGTGATATTAGGTTAATAATATTAGAATAGAAAAAAATATGTAATATTAGGAACCTTCTTAAATATCCTATTAGATTTTATTGAACGACCTAATTGTTTTTGTAAATTTGATTAACCTGTATTTAAACAATAACCAATTAACAATGGAGGGCATAGATGCACATCTGATTTACTTGGACGAATTTATAAATCCACATCTTTTTGATATTGCTCTTTCCAGTCCAAGCTTGGAACAGCAACCTGACCCACAAAATACTAACCTTGGTTCTCATAAGTCTCTCAATTTATCGAACCCATTTATTGCTAACAATAATGCTAATGACAGGACAGACTTCAATACAAATAACTTGTACCAGTACCAATCATCAGTGAATCCACCACTAAATAACCCAAATAATAACGTTAATATTAATCCTAATTCATTCAGAAATCCAAATACTAGCCAAACACTTGGCCAAACAGTGCCAAATCCCATGAAAAAAGCTTTAGTAGATATTACTAACGTTTTTACCAAAACCCTTAAAGACTTGAGCGATTTTTATACAAAACCTAATAAAAAGCCCACTATCCTTTTTCATGGCTTCGACTATGATGACCCTATTTTCTTTGTTAGGACACTGGAAAGGTATTTTAATGATTCAAACATTCTGGATAGCTCTGAAAGAGTCAGCGTAGGGGTTTCCTTGCTTAGGGGAGAAGCTAGAGAATGGTTTGAGCCCTACATATCTCTTAATTTATCCTGGAATGCTTTCAGGGAATAAAATTTGAATAGATTCAATCAAATTTCACTTTTCGCTAATGCAACTTCTTCTCTTTATGGTGACAAACAAAAACCCACTGAGTCTGTGAATGTTTTCATTGCCAGAAAGTTAGCTCTTTTTGCTAGGCTCGATCCATACAAAAGTGAAGAACTGAAAGCTGCCCTCATTATTGAACAGCTGCGACCTGATCTTCGATCCAGGTTGAGAAGATTTGGGGTGCCTCTCACTTGTGAAGAATTAATGAACACAGCATCATCTGTAGAAAGGGACCTTCTGGACGAAAATACCCTTCACGTTTACAATCAACCAAAATTCGAGGCCAAAAGCAATCCTTCAGTTCCTGTGTCTGACCAAACGACATTTATACCACCATTACATAAGCAAGACAAGAACAAAAAGCCACCATCACCTTGCAAATATTGTCAACAGTGGCACTATCACAAAGATTGCCCAAAAAACCCTTTCAACAATAAGAATGGGGCGGAAAACAGATGGGGGGCCGGCCAGGGTCAGCATCGATCTGGACCGGCCAATTCCAATCCCACGCCGTTCACAACCCAGTAAATTACAACATCCCAATAAAGCCCTTGCAAGACAACAACGAATTTTGTCCCCCAAAAGAAATTGACATCAACAACATCACCCATATTAGTGACCCAAAACTCCCTAGAATTGACATTCACATTTTCAACAAAACTATTTCTGCTTTAATGGATACTGGCTCAAGTATTAATATCATACGTTCAGATTTAATTGCCGACTTTAAAATTGATATAAAAGTCAATAATCAAAAATTCGTATCAGCCTGTGGAGAAACACCTACTTCTTCAGGAACAATAAATTTAGATTTTTCAATAAACTCTTTAGCTTGTAACTCAGAATTTATCCTTTTACCAAAATTACAGGAACAATGTATCCTAGGAGAGCCTTTCCTGAAATCCAATAATGTTATCTTGGATTTTACTAGAAAGTGTGCCTATATAGGTACTACATCTCGTAAAACTGTTTACTGGCATATTCCACAAAATAATCATATCCCCAATACCGATTTCTTGAGTTCTCTTTCCCCAGAAATACAAAATAATCCAGATATTTTGAACCTTATCCAAGATTACTCAGATATCTTCAATTACGGCCTTCACAAACCCACTACAACTTCAACAACTCATAAAATTGTTCTAACTAATCACGATAAGACTATAGCCCAGAAACCTTACCCAATGAATCCACAGCTCAAAGAAATCATGTATCAACAGGTGGATGAAATGTTGTCAGCTGGTGTTATCGAACCATCTTCCTCAAGATACAGTTCCCCTATCGTAATTGTCAATAAAGAAGGCAAAAAACCCAGATTTTGTATAGATTACCGTCTAATAAACCTAATTACAGTTGATGAATCATCAGTATTGCCTAAAATTCCGGACACCTTGAAAGATTTGGGTAATGCAACCATTTTCACAGTACTTGACCTGAAATCAGGATACTGGCAAGTGCCACTTGATCCTGCCTCAAAGCCATATACAGCATTTTCTACCCCTGATGGTGCATTATATCAATTTACTGTAATGCCCTTCGGTTTAAAAAATGCCCCAGGAACATTCCAGAGGCTTATGACAAATGAAGTCCTTTGTGGCTTTTTGAACATCTTTTGTAAAGTCTACTTAGATGATATTATTATTTACTCTACTGATTTAAACACTCATCTTATCCACCTACGACTGATATTTGAAAGACTCCGAATTCACAATTTGAAAGTCTCCCATGAAAAATGTCAGTTCGCCATTTCAGAGTTAGAATACCTAGGTCACATGATTTCTGGAGGTAAAATTATCCCCCAAGAAAAACATATAATTGCAATAAAAAATTTCCCTCCTCCAAATACAAAGAAACAGTTGCAAAGTTTTTTAGGAACTTGTAATTGGGTGCGGGAATATATACCCCATATGTCCCACCTCATTGCACCTCTCACACCCCTTTTACACAAAAATACCAGATTCCGGTGGATGAATGAGCATCAGACTGCATTCAACACAATCAAAGAAAAAATTTCACAACCTCTTGCTCTTTATAGACCTGATTTTTCGAAAACCTTTTACCTACAAACTGATGCCTCTGCGATAGGTATGGGATGTGTCCTTTTTCAGATGAATGAAAATAACCAAGACCGCCAAATCATCTCATATGCTAGCGCTCATTTCACTGCAACAGAAACCAAATATCACTGCAATGAGCAAGAATGCCTTGCAGTAGTATGGGCTATTAAAAAATATCGTCATTGCCTTGAAAGCAATCGATTCATTCTGATTTCTGATTCAAAATCCCTTTTATGGCTCGATAAATATAAAGATAGCAAATGTAAGTTAACCCGCTGGTCATTACTTTTGCAAGAATTTAAATTTGACTTAATTCACTGTGACGGAAAAAACAATGAATTCGCAGATTTTCTGAGCAGGAATCCTGCTAATGAAACTTTAAACCCTCAATTAGTCAGCAATGATCGGTTAATCCCACCATTAATTGAGGAGACTCCTAGAAATATCGTTGTTAATAATATTACTCATATTGACCTTTTTGTCAAAATAGCTAATGCACAAAGACGATCTGTGCCTCTCAGGAAAAAAATTATTAAATGGAAAAACATAAAATCTCAGGGATCACGAGATAACTCGGAAAGAAAATTTTATCAGTCCCATATAGTAAAAAATGCCCTTTTGTTTAAAAATAGTCAGCCGGAACAACTTATTGTCCCTCGTTACTTGATACAAAATGTTATTCACCATCATCATGATCTAGTTGCACATCCAGGTAGAGACGAAACCATAAGAAAAATACTTGAAAAATATTTTTTCAAAAATATCCGTAAAACTGTTGGCAATTATGTAAATAATTGTATAATATGCATGTCAGTAAAAAAGAGGCAAATCCAAAAACAAGCTCCTTTGGAAGCACATACACCAAAAAGCCCTTTCGAAATCCTTTCCATTGATATCCTAGGGCCTTACAATGAAAGTTCTTGTAGAAAAAAATACATCCTTTGTGTTGAGGATGTTTTCACCAAATGGATAGAGGCCGAAGCATTTTCACAAGTTGAATCACATAATGTTACTAGCTTTTTAAAAAATACTGTTTTTTCCAGGTTTGGTTGTCCAAAAACTATAATATCGGATAATGGTCCCCAATTCATTAGCAAAACATTCCGTCAATTTTGCGACAAATATAAAATCAAACGTTTCTACACCCCTATTTACCACCAGCAAAGTAATCCTGTAGAACGTAGGAACCAAGAATTGAAAAAGGTTTTACGAACTTTACTGGTAGGAAAATCCGAGAAAAAATGGGACTTGTATCTGGACAAAGCCCTAAGAACCTTAAGGTCCAGAAAAAATTTGGCCACAGACATGACTCCGGCTAGGGCCCTTTTAGGCTATGAATTAGCTGATTCAGGTGAGTGGCTTACACCAATGTATAGGAACAATCGCTTGAAACAACAACAAGTACCTCCTGAGGAACGTATTCTTCAAATCAAAGCCAATCAATCCCGATATCAGGCTAAATATTCTGATAAGACAAAATCCCCTAATGTGACTTTCAACCTTGGTGATAAGGTTATGGTACGAGAGATGAGGCAACTCAGAGATCCCTTTGGCCCAGTTTGGTCAGGTCCTTTCGAAGTTGTCAAAAAAGACAGTTCACTCGTTTATACAATTTTAAGAGACAGTAGGCTGGTCAGTATTCACGTCAATGACCTTAGACCTGCTCCCCTGGGCAACGAACCCCCTACATTTGATGTCTCTGAGTCGGATAATGATTCCATTGACTATCCAGATGTTCTAGATAAAGATTTATCTCAGGAAGAAAGTAACCCTGAAAGTGATGAAGTAAATTACACCCAAACAAACCCTCAAAGTACCGAAGTACTTCTTAGTTCCTTTGAACGATCTTCACCAACACATTCCATTGAATGTCATTCACCAAATCCTTCTAAAGCTGATGCTCGAAGTCTTGTTCTACAAAGAACTGATCATTCTTCAGATGAAGATGATTTACCTTATGCCCCAAAAAACTTAAAATTGACCCCAATCAGACCTTATAAACCAAGTTCCAACTTTGAACCACATCCTGTCTCAATACAGGAAAACCCTATTGGTTTACGCCTAAGAAGACCCGTAAAACCGAAAACGTGTACTTTTCACGACTGTAATTGTTAAAGTACCTACAACTCTCGAATCAAGACTACATGACAAATGAGACGACTAGAAAAACTAAATAAATCTAAACAGAAAGGTTAATTTTTTTTTTCTATAGTTTATTATATTCTGAGTAATTATTTATTTTTCGTTATATAAGTATTAAGCTATAGGTTTTAGTTTAGGTTTACGTTTAGATTGTAACCCAGAACATTTCTGTCCATTTCGTTAGATAAATATCTTCTTAAATTATTTTTAGAATTGTCGATATAGAATGTATTTCTATTCATTTTTTTTACATGAATTTCATAAGCAAGAATTTACGCAATATGTACTCTCATGTTTTATAAGTATTATCCTGTTTTGTTTTGTAGTTTAAGTTATTACCAATGTTACCTAGAAAGAACCAAAAAATCTGAACTTCCCTTTGGAGTTGTCCATATTATAATATGTATTTATTTTCTCGTTACTACATGAATATTACAAATAAGAATGTATGTACTTAATATGTATTGTTAGGTGTTTAACTAATATGTTTTGTATTTTTGCAACCAATGAATCATTCACATTTGTTCTATTGTTTTTCTTTGTGAATTTGCACGTTCTTTTCTTAATAAATGGCGAGTCCATTCTTAACAAATTCAGCTTTCTAAGCCGGGGGGTGTTAACGGAACACACTCCGTGTCCACGGAACACGCTCCGAACACGGCCACGGAACAAGAGAGAGACAGAGGCAACTGTCAGCCGCCAGCCAGCGAGCTCGGCAAGAAAAGTGAGTCGGTCAAGGGCACTGCTCAAGAAACTCAACCCAACCTGAAACTGACTCCAGAACTCAAGACTCCAACCATCGCCTTCGCGACCCTAAAAAGCAGCCCTGAGGCTACAAACTGAATTTGTTAAGGTGGACGTCGGAAATTGCTACAAACATTGGCGTTTTATTTTTGTCGTCGCTGAAACAACCGAAAAAAGCCCCAAAAACCTACGAACCCCCCTTTTTCATTAACACATGTAATAACAGACTGCTTAAACTCAGCTTTAAAACTTTCTATCTTTGATGATCCAATTAGTGACCATAAGGCATAGCTGTTAAATATTACATCTAATAAGTTAATAGAACCTAATAAACACTATGCAGTAACAGTGTTAAATAAAACAAATTTTAAGAGAAAACCTCAGGAATTAAATTAAGTCACCAACAATGGAATGGAATAACCCTGACGTTCTCTGTGATGACATTGATGACAATATCACAACCAATGAACTATCACAACTTTTCTAAGCAATCTGACAACCAATACATTTAAAGACAAATTCAGACCCGATAGTGCTCCGTGGTTCAATGGAAATTCTTATAATTTTGTGAAGAAAAAAGACTTCCATTATAAAAGACACAAACAATTTCGTCTTAGTGAGTATCTACTAGAAAAATACCACTCAAAGGGAACTCAAGGTACATAACAGCTTAGTTTTCAATGAATACTTTTCTAAAACAAAATGCACAATAACAGACAGTATCCCTGTAGTACAATATCAGCCTGACCCTACACATGCTAATAAAAGTTTCTAATTCCAGGCGGTAATTATCGATATCATTGAAGGTATTATCAACAAACTGAAAAATAATATGCTTTTCCCGGCTTGGACAACTTCAGCACTAATATTCTAAAGGAATTCAAGAACGAATTGGCTCCTCTTCTGTGCCAACTTACCAATCTTACTTTTGTTACAGGCTGTATACTTAAAGGGAATGTGACCCTAAAAAACGACTTAAGCTACTTAAATCGAGAAAAAAATTCTAAGATCTCTGGTGAAAACCGCAGTCCTGTATTCAAAATAGTCTCCGAGAAAATTACTTGTGAAGATCAATAATGCAGGAAGTTGTGATGTCACAACAGCCGAAATCGCAGTTTTCTGGTCGTTCAGTCGTCAGTGAACCGTACCGTATACTTTGAGTGGTTGCAATTCGCTCTAGGAGATAATTATCTTTTGTTTTGGAGAATTCTCACACGTGTTAATACTGTCCTGGAAAATCCAGTGTGACGTCACAAAGCCTAGTTGTAACTTCAAACTGCCCTAGCTCGAAAACGGACCATCGTAGCAAGATACGGTTTGAATATTTATTCTTAGATTTTTTTGCACTGAAACTTTCATTTTTGGGTCACACTCCCTTTAACTTTTTATAAAGGGCTGCCTGCTCTCTCAAAAAACTTGGAGCTGTGCATGAATAAATAACTAGTTGGTGAACTTTAGGCCTTTGACAGCGTCAACTACAATATCCTAATATACATGCTTGAACAAAATGAGGTCAGAGGTATGCAACTGGCTTGGCTGGGGGACTATCTCACAGAAAGAATTCAACGCGTTTGTATTAACCACACACTGAGCAAGGTTGATGATGTCACATGGGACAGGCGACAGAGATCGATTTTGGGACCCACTTTGTTCCTTGTTTATATGAACTGCATATCTCAACTCCAAACTATGCCTACATGCTGACGATACATGTTTTCTGTATTCTGGAAATGATCACACAGCCTCACAAACGCCTATGAACTCGCCTATGAAGGAAGACCTAACACAAATCCACAACTGGCTTTGCTACCACAAACTTTCACTAAACAGCAACAAATGTAGCTACATGACTATCTCAAACATCAACAGGCGAAATTTATTACTGGGTGCGATTTTCAAATTCATTCGAGTACATTTCGTACATGAAATTTGACTGACAGCAATGTTAATTAAATGGGGAGCATTTGAAATCGTGTCAAATTTCGTATGCGAGAATATAGTATAGGAAACATAGCAGCTTATAATAGGCCGACCTAGAACAAATTAGAGACAAGCTAGTTTTGGCTAAAATCGCACACATAATGACTAGTAGTATAACATACTAAAAGTCCCATTTGGTACGATTTTGCCAAGTAGAAAAAAAATTTTGAATGTTGAATTTTTCTGTTTCTTGACAATACCTAAGTAAATTGAGCCCCTCTATGAGAAAATATCGACATTTTTTGTTCAGCAGTGAAAAAAACATAATGTGCATCAATTTTCCTCCATAACCATATCAATACAGCAGTAATAGTTATTTATTATACAGGGTGTTCACTTAAGTTCGCAGCATATGGAAAACTTTTTTATTATCAATTTTACGAAAAACAGTTATTCTTTATAAAAGTTTCTGCTTCTTGAAAAAATAATATTAAACTACTAAAACTTGAAGTAGCATGTACAGGGTGGTCAAAAAATAGAAAAATATAGAAGGTGTTTCCTAAGTAAGGTTCTTTACTTCAGGATGTGATTCCTTACAATATTTTAAGAAAAAAAGTTCCCATGAACATGTGTCCGGAAATGCGTAGTTTCTGAGATACAGGGTATCAAAGTTTAGAAAATAGTTATGTTTGTCACAAGTACCTAAAATGAAGGTTTTCAGGACGAATCATTGCTGTTTTCGGACGAGGCGTTAGCCGAGTTCGGAATAGCAATCTGCATACACGTGTATACTGCAATGTTGAACAGCTATTATAAGTGGCGTTTCGCTAACCTGTCAAATCCACAAGATATGCCAAAAATTCGGAGTGTGGGTCCAAAATGTACCCGGGTTGTAGGTGGAAGGGTTAATGAAGTCAGAATTTTTGCCTGAAAGGCCCACTATGTTCTTATTTAGTGATAGTATTTCATCACTCTTTTATCATTGATTTTGGTAGACAGCCTTTGCAGTTCAATAAAACTGGAATCTATCTTCCATCTCATCACATCTAAGCTGCAGGTCTTCAATGTATTTATCCTTATAGATTGTGAGATAGGGACTGTTAAGGGGGGAGTCATTTTTTTTCGTCTGGCATTTTGAGGGCTGAATGTGGCTAGTTAGTTGATGAGAATATGGGTGATTTTAATGCCTGCCCCCTGTTAGAAAATTTGGAGAAGAAAAAAATTGATTAACATAAAGATTTTTTTTAATGATCTCGAATTTCCTTGTTTTTAAATTAAAGATTGACATTGATAAATAATTCACCAATAAAAAATACCAGATGCTTTTCAATGGCTGAAAAAGTGGGGATGAGTGTCAACTTCCAAGAGAAAAGAAAAGAACCTTCCGCGTTTACTTTTTGTCTGGCAATCGAGAGAATGAAAGGTTTTGTAGTGAAAATAACGCTGAATAATCGTCAGACGGTAATCATAGTTCGAAATCGAGCAAATCCGCAAAACATTCTGTGGACATTTCGAACAGAGAGCAGGCATTGAAACCACTTATATTCTCATCAGCTAACTAGCCACGTTCAGCCCTCAAAATGCCAGACAAAAAAAATAACTCCACTAAACAGGCCCTATCTCAGGGTCTATTAGCTTCCATCTCAGTTTTAAAAGTATTCAAATTTTCCAAAAATCTTTTATAGTGTTCCTGGTTGGCGATCAGTTCCCTACCGCTAGGAAAACAAAAAATGATTGATCTATTGCTCCAGCGAATAGTATCAGCTTCAGTAGCTGAAATTTTAGTACATTTCTTGCAAACCACATTCTTACACAGTCCGTAATGCCACCCGAATGAATCATTTTCCTTTGTTCTCCTTTTGAAAATACAAAATGCAAGTTGAAGTGCATATATGTCTTATGACAACACAGTAACATTTCAAGTAGGACAATGTTGTTGACTATAAGTGAGTATTCATACCAAAGTAGAATGCGACGTGCGACTTGCTGCTAGAAAGCAAGAAGCATGCTACTTATTTTAGAACCTTAAGAAATATATGGTTGGTTTAGAAATATATGGGTGGCTTTATATCATATATTTTGATAGTTTGCGACATATTTGCAAGGCGCACACACAAAGCACTTAGGGAGCATTCACACTAAAGCAGTGTTTCTCTATCTTTTGGAAAATAAGGAACCCTAGAGCGCACTTTTCTTTTTCCCGGAAACCCATACCCCAAGTATATACATACTTAAATATAAGACATAATGTTTGGTTTTGTCAAAATATAGACACTTATTGAGCTTCTAAGTAAGGAGAAGATTTTTAAAAAATTCAAGAATTGAGTGGGTACATAGGTGATATATCAATAGCTCAGCCTCGTATGGAAACAGCAAATATTCATCCTAAAACCCCTTATTTCAGGTACTTGTTACAAAAATAGCTATTTTATTGATTTTACATGGGCTAAATGCGATTGATGAAACTTTTCGATTTGGACTGTGAACAAATTGCCAACCCAATTCAATAATTTAATCAAGATACTCTTTTTGCCTTTGAAATTATTCTTTGATTGAAACGGAGCCCCAATCGACCCTTTGCGGAACCGTAGGGTTCCTGGAACCCAGTTTGAGAATCACTGCACTAAAGTAATGCTTTCTAGCAGCAAGTCCCATGTCGCACGCTACTTTGGTGTGAATGCTCACATTGCCAACCACTGAAATAACCGCTGTTTTTTGGGTATTCACTGGTTATATCTATCCCGAAACTTAAGTGCCATAAAAAGAAGAATTCCACATACAAAGCAAAAAAGGTTTCACAAAAACCAATTGATTTCGCCAAAACAATTTGGGAATATGTATAATTACTGATGTCAATGTCATTCAAACATTAAAAATAACATGAACATGAAGGTTCGCTGATATCAATTATATAATGATAATTTCAATAACAAAAAAAATCCCCAAAAAAAACCAGTTGTCATTTTTCTGCATCAGGAAATGACTACAATATTTTCATTTTATTGAATTCTGCCTTGACTTTAACAGATAGAGGTCGACCTAAGAGTATCATTTTAACTTTATTCAAAATAGGATTATACCTGATATTGTCAAAATTTACATATACGGATCTATAAATTTCAATGTCTAATAATAATGCGATTGTTTTTTTTTCCCGATACCAATTTGCAATCGAAGCAAGTGAACAAGGTAGAAGTACTAGATAAGTAAGTGTTCGATATATTGAACGGAACAAGTAAAATTAGAATCCCAAATAGCTTAAATTAAACGTTTCTGAATAACACACAACAAAGGACCCCACACACCTCTTATGTGTATTTGGTTTTCTGTAAAACTGAATGAAATTTTGAAATGTGCCAAGACCTTGATTTCCTGATAAAATTTCTCGTGGGCCCGAACCAATCCTATGATTAGTTTCTGAGATACAGGTATTTTAATGTCCAAGAATGCACACATTTTATACAGGGCTTTCATTTCAAAACTTGCCACCTACGTAAACAGACAGATTTATGGAAATCGCCGAAGCACGTCAACAAATTTATCGAGGAGGAAGGTTTTTTTATGTAAAACTGGACTTCGCTCCTTCAAACCCCTAAGCCCTAGGGCTACCACCCCAAAATTTTCAAATGAGACAGCGAATCGAGTGATAGATCATTCAAAGGGCTGTTTAATCTGTACATTTTACCATCCTATTTTTCAAATTTGACCTCACTCTTGCAGAATAACACCACTATCCCTAAACACACCTGCTTGTTTACCTGTTGCGGCTGTTGCTGTAATGAAAAGGTATTATATTCAGTAGGTTTGAGAATAGGTTTTAAACTATTTTTTAGGTAAAAAAGCAGGTATGTTTAAAGATAAATTGGCACTTTTTAACACTGAAATGAATGGTATTCTGCAACACTGGGCTTAAATTCATAAAATAGGACGGCAAAATGTACAGATTAAATAGCTCTTTGAAATGATCTATCACTCGACCCCCTGTTTCATTTGAAAATTTTCGGGTGGTAGCCCTGGGGGTTAAGGGGTTGAAGGGGCGGATCTAGTTTTACGTAAAAAAACCTTTCCCCCCAATAAATTTGTTGACGTGTTTCGGCGATTTTCACAAATATGCCTCTTAACGCAGATAACGTGGGTGGCGTCAATGAAGTAAAATTTCAACACATTACGGGGGATGTTTATATAGTGTGTGCCAATTACAATGATTCTTACTTAAACTACCTCTATCTCAAAAACTATAGTCTATTTTTTCTCAAGTAGATTTTGACATTGAAAACTTTGAAACATAAACAATAACGCTTGGCCTTGATTGGTCGCAAAATAAGGTGTCTCTGCAGGTTGACATGAGTTTTATAATGCATGCCGTGCAAATGGCATTTTGCGATCAATAAGCGGCATTGTTTATGTTTCACAGTTGACATTGTCGAAATCTATTTTGGAAAAAAATAAACTGTAGTCATAGGATTGGTTCGGGCCCATGAGAACTTTTTATCAGGAAGTTAAGGTCTAGATATCAAAATTTCATTGAGTTTGATAGAAAACCAAATACCTATGAGGTGTGCAGGGTCCTTTAAAATGCAATAAAAGTATATCAACTCACCTGGGAATAATTGTCTAACTGACAAAGCGGGATTCGAAATGAGTTTACTCGGAGCAGCTTCATCTTGCCAAGAAGAATCTCCATAATTCGGCTTGAGCGAAATTGAAGGATTCTGACCCAGTTTCTGAGCGGCCAAATCGTTATCTTTCTTATAACTTCTCGAAATTTCTACACTACCGCCAAACTAGAATCAACAACTCTAAGTATGATTCAAATAAACAAGTTTTCATTGACTCACCGATTCCAAGGTTTTTCTTTGGATAATTTTAGGGCTATTGCGGTCCTTTTTGCTCTCGTTATCGCTAGAACAGTCCATTACAATTGCAGGTATAAGAGTGTTGTAGTCAACGCCTGCGTATTCATCTTCAGGAGATTGGGCTCTCGATTGGTCGGCACTTTGCGAATGATTGGTGTCTGATGAAGGCACTCGCACTCGTTTTCTTGGTCTAGAAAAATATATATGACATTTCAACATGATTCTTTTAAGTATATTTATAATGGAGTTTTCACCTTGTTTCCTCCACATCCTCTTCAAGTTCGTCATCTTGAGTTTCACTATTGCCACTATCATTTGACGAGTTTCGCATTCTTTTAAGTCTCCCTTCTGAGTCTTTTTTGTCTGCTGATTTAGCTGGAGGCAGCAGCAGTTCATCTGCTTCGCCAACATCCATCTGCACAATGTCGTTGAAATGTAACAACCTAAAAAGAAACAGTTTTGTAATGCTGGTTTTTTTGATTCAAGAACCAATGCACCTTTTTTTATATTCCTTGAAAAAATTAATACTATTTTCGGCCCTTTCTTCAGGATCCTTCAAGATAATTGATGCAAAACCCTTGCACAATTTACATACTACTGGTTTGTTGCACAACACTATTGAAATACCTACAAAAACAATGCATTAATTTTCAATAAAATGTAACCGAAATAAAATAATTGCCTTCATCTTTGAGTGCCTCATTCAATTCTTTAACTTCAGGCCCCAAATAATGTATATGATTACGTGCCAAGCGTCGCTTGCACATGCCGCAAATCATCAAATGCTCCAAAGCCTCATAATGCTCATCACAAATCGGAATCGAATGCAATCCTGGATTATCCAAGTCAATATTGATAACTTGACAGATGCTTTTGCGCATTTTAATAATCCATTTTCTTCTTAAAATGTTTGTAGACGTGTTGCTGCAGGCCAATACATGGCAGTGGTTTTGCCTAGGACCCGGAGCCACCAGAGAATTACGTTTTAGGGATTTGTTTATGTATGAGGGGGAGTTGGATTTTCTGTCCACGTGACGGTAGCAGGCGTCGCATAGGCATGAATCTCTAGTCAAATGTTGCTCAGCTAAAAAAAAAAAAACACTTCTAATGTCAACAATAATACAAATAAAATGAAAATTCTTACTGGCTAAAATCTTGTTTTGTCTGTCGACACTTTTGATTTGAGCAATGTGGCAAGGGGTGTCGAAAAGGCCGAATTCTCCGAAACAATATGAACATTCGTCCTTGCAAAGTCTGCCTGGATGGATGCTGAATGAGCTGGCTTTTTCCGGTACTATCAAAGATTTTTCAGGTTGTGACTTGTCTTGATTGGCTTGTTCGCTGTCCGAAGTATGTTCGCTGCTATTTTCTGTTGAAGGAACATTTTTGTTAGGGTCTTAAGTTAGATTGAGTTGGAATTTTAGTTTAGGGCCAAAACCGTTTGAAAAAAATGAAGCCTGTATTAATTTATTATGTTTTTGGGCAAATGTACAAGTTACAGTCAAATTTGGATTTTGAATTTAAGCTAAATAATTCCAGGTTTGACTGTACCTATTTGAATTTTTCATGCAATATTTCCAAAACTCCAAAAAATCTAAATAATCTAAAAACCCGAAACCATAATTACCCATGTTAGATCGATTAGAATAATGTGATTTGCGATGCGCACCAGCTGTATCCGAGGAATCTTTGCTGTGCTTCGAAGAACTAGAACCGCCCTGAAAAAAAAAAAAAAAATTAAAATATAAATTTTATCGTGACAAAGATACAATAAACAGAAATATTTATACCTAAAACGGCTCTTTCAACTGTGAATGAAGCGTTTCAAAAAAGTGTCTTATTGTTGAGATCATTGAGGTAGTTAATCTAAAGAAGAATCTGCAGTTTTTAATAGCAGGTTATGGGCCCAGATCCCAATGGGCGCCAAGTAAAAAAGTTTTGGTAAGAAGAAACATGCTTTTATGTTTGCCCAGAAAAGACTTTGTAATTTTTGTAACTTTAATTTCTAATTCTCGTAATTCTCGTAACTTTTTCGTAATTCCCATAATTTTTTATAATTCTCGTAACTTTGATAGTTTTCGTAATTTTCAATTCAATTTTCAGTTGTCGTAATTTTTTAAATTTCTCCGACGTTTTTGGAAATTTTATAATTTCCCGAAGGCCTTTATAATTTTTGTAATTGTAATTCCTGATTCTTGTAATTCTTATTATTTTCTAACTTTTTAAAAATCATCATAGGTTTTTTCGATTTTTGCAATTCGTTAATAAATTTCCGTGATTTATTTGCAGAATTTTCGTAACTTTTCTAATTTCCATAATTTTTTAAAAATTCAATTATTTTCGGTAGTCCCGAAATTTTTCGTAATTTCTGCAATTTTTGCAATTCCCTTAATTTTCGTTAATTAACAAATTCCTTAATTTTTGTGTTATTTCCGAGATTTTTTTTTTCAATTTTTCGTAATTTCCGTAATTTTTGCAATCCCTATAATTATTCTAATTGTCCTAATTTTCCTAGTTTCCGTAATTTTTTATGATTTTCGTGATTTCTGTTATTTCTTTTAATTTCCGTAATTTCTTTATTTTATTTTTCAATAATGATAATTCTCGTAAGTTTTTGAAATTTCCGTTATTTTTGAAATTCTCGTGATTTTTATTATTTTTTCGTAAAACGTAATTTCCAATAATTTTTTGCAATTCTACGTATTTTTGAAATTGGCGTAATTTTTTTCCAGAATTTTCAATGTTTTCCGTAATACTCGATTTTTTTTCTAATTTTATAATTCTTCTCTCAATTTTTTTAATAACTAATGTATTTTAGGTGATTTTTTTGAAATTTTTGTGATTTTTGTTAATATTTTTCCATATTACGTAATTTTCCAATAATTTTTGTAATTTAACATAATTATTATTATTAAAATTTCCGTGATTTTTTTCGTAATTTTATAATAATTCTCCTAATTTTTCAATAATTGTAATTCCCGTATTTTTTTGAAATTTCCGTGATTTTTTGCAATATTCGTTATTTTTCATTTTTGTAATTCTTGTAATTTTCGTAATTTATCAATGACTTTTGTAGTTCTACGTAATATTTGAAATTGCCAATAATTTCCATTGCTTTTGTAATACTCAAATATAATTCTCCTTTTTAGTTTTTGATAATGGTAGTTTCCGTAACTTTTTAAATTTTCCGTGATTTTTGCAATTCTCGTAATTTTTGTTATTTTTTCGTAATACATTATTGTCCAATGTTTTCGAAATTTTAATAATTTTTGAAATTCCCGTGATTTTTTTCATAATTTTTTAATTCTCCTAATTTTTTACAAATTTAATTCTCGCAATTTACCCATGATTTTCGCAGTTCTACATAATTTTTGAAAATCTCGTCATTTTTGTAATCCTCGTGATTTTTGTAATTTTTCCGTAATTTCCGTAATTTGCCAATGATTTTTGCAATTTCACGTAGTTTTTGAAATTCCCGTAATTTTTTAAAATAATTTCCATTACATAAGTATTTCCATTCCGGGTTTTTTTCGTAATTTTGCAATTGCTGTAATTTTTTTCAAATTTTCATGATTTTTGCAATTTTAATGATTTTTGTTATTTTTTTGTAGTTTCCGTATTTTACGTAATTTTTCAATTATTTATTTAATTTTTTGCAGTATTTTTCAAACTTATTTTCATTGCTTTTGTAATACCCGATTTTTTTGTAATTTTTTAATTTTCCTCTTAGTTTTTTAATAATTAATGTATTTCCCGTAATTTTTCAAAATTCCCATGATTTTTGCTATTTTTCCGATTTTTTTTTTCATTTTTTCGCGATTCCTGTAATTTTTGAAATTTTTATAATTTTTCAATTTATTTTTATTAATTCTATATTTTCCGTATTCTTGTTTTTTCCGTAATTTTTCAATGGAATTTTTATAATTTTCCTAATTTTTGTGATTCACGTACTTAATTTTTTGAGGAATCTTTGCAAATTCGGTAATTTTTTGATTTTTTCGTAGTTTCTAATATTTTTTAATTTTTGTAATTCTTTAATAAATTATTTTCGTAATTTTTTAATTCTTTTAATTTTCATAATTCTCATATTTTTTTAAAAATCTAGTAACTTTTTGTAGTTTTGAAATTTTTGCAATTTCTACTAATTTCAATTTTTGTAATTTTCGTAAAATTTTCCGAAATTTTTGCAATTCTTATATTTTTTAAATTATCAATTCAAAACTATAGGAATTATATACATAATTCAAAATTTCAAAAAATATTCTGAAATTACGGAAATTATTCGAATATTGCAGAAATTACGAAAAATAACGGAAATTACAAAAAAAATAGGGGAATTACAGGAATTATTCCAAAAATGCAGGAATTACTCAAAATTACATATTCAAAATTACAGGAATTGTTTGTAAATTACGGAAATTTTCTCAATATTACAGAAAATTACGGAATTTACGAAAAATGGAAATTATGAAAAATTACGTGAATAACGAAAAACTATGAAAATTACAGAAATTATTGCAAAAATTTTAAAATTTTCAAATGAAAAATCACTCCATAAAAAAATCTGGAAAATTGACTTATTTAAGCAAATTTTGCTTGGAAAAAGGAAAATTCACCCTCTTACATTTTAATTTTTTTCTGCAAAACTGGCAGAGGGAAAATTTTGAAAATTTTCCAAGAAAAAGAGGAAAGTGAGGAGCTCATTATAGGAAAATTACGAAATTTTTCAGTAAGAAATCTCTCTAGAGAAAATTCTGGAAAATTGACTTTTTCAAGTAAAATTAAGGAAAATTCATCCTCTCACATTTCAATTGTTTTCTGGAAAACTGGCAAAAGAGGAAGAAGAGATTTTGTCAGCTTCAAAAATGCTCTCTTGGCATTTTTCCTCAAAGTGGATAGTTTTCGATAAAATCACCAAAATATTAAAAGGAAGGAGTTTGAGGGGCGAAAAAAGGGGGTTGCGGAAGGAGGATTCTCCAGGACTTTAGTATGTTGATATTTAGCCCTAAATTATGATATATACCAAAAATTAGCTTTACATTATTTTTGTTTAGGTTTACCCAAAATTTGAACTATCTTGACTCGGGTAATACTTTTGATAAGTTAAATTTGAAGGAAATTTCTACTCTCTAACTATTCCGCTAAAAAAGTTAAAAGCGAAAAACTGAAAGAGTTCGAAAATTTCTAGGTCTTTCGACTTCCCCCCAAGTTAGCACAAGGTCCTTGAGGTTGAAAACTTAAGATTCTACTCCACAGACTACCCACAAACGACATGCCAAAATATCATTGACTTCGGAATATTTTCCAGTTACCCCCTTTATTCATTACTTGCCTGCTGCCAAAATACCATAAAAAGTCATTTTTTCTTCAAAACCCAAAAGTCAAAGACCAAAAATGAATTTAAATCGAATTTAGTGTACAATATTCCTTGCTCTCAATGTAATAAAAACTATATCGGGCGGACTGGTAGATATTTGAAACAAAGACTGAAAAAACACGAAAATGACCAAAAAAAATTTTCTCTTGAAGACTAACCCAACAGCATTAGTAGAACATGAACTAGAGACAGAACATAACTTCGACTTTGACAACATCACAAGTTAACTACAGGAAAAATTGTTGAGAACATAAAAAGATAAAAATTGCGTCAATAATAGAACAGTTATACAAAATTTAGGTAACGCATATTTCAACAAAATGATCTTCACAAAGCAGCTTTCATATCAGTGTTTTTTAGATTAGGATGCTATTCCCTACTAGAAAACTAAAGATATGTGTCTTGCTTACGAGGTCGCTGCACAGAGCCTAGCGATGTTGCAGGGAACTGAAACGAACCTGACTAGCGAAATACATGAGGTTCAGGCACGTCGCAAACAGCAAATTCAACCAAAACAGAACAGATTAGCTGAGGAACGTGACAGTCGAGTTAATCAGGAAATGTTTCCGTTTTGAAAAAGACTATTTGGCGGTTTCCTGTGTGCATAGAAATTCGAAGTGTAATTACTTTCGGAAAATAGGGCACATTGAGGTAAGTTGTTTGCTTAAGAAGAAGGACACAAACAGACAGAGACACCAACAATTCGGGTCAGGAAAATGATTTGGAAAGTGGTCAGAACATTGACTCTGATGGTGCGGACTATGGGTTTAGATTAAATAATGTGAGTTGTGACAATTTTTAGGGCAAGTACTTAGCCGAAGTTACGGTAAATGGGACTAAAATTTGTATGGAAGTAGATTTGGGATTAGAAGCTTCCAAAAGGATTTTGGGCGGCAAGCCTCCGTTGAAAAAATCCACCAATATTATTCTACTACAACTACTATCAAGGTAAAGTAATTCCTACACGGGGTGAGTGTTTAGTAACTGTTAAACTAGGACAGAAAGCCAGAGGCTACCCCTCATAATCACTCAAGAAAACTCAGCAAGTTTGCTTGGCCGAAATTGGTTTGAAGGTTTGGGTTTATCCATCATAGGGAAAAGTCAAATTTATTCTTTGTCCAACTATGTCCAGGAATACCCTGAAGTATTCGCTGAAAAGTTAGGATCCTACAGGGGACCTCCAGTTAGCTTTTCCCTGGATTCAAATTTCAAGACGATCATTTTGAAAGCTCGAAAAGTGGCATTTACATTAAAGGAAAAAATTGATATGGTGATATGGAACTAGATAGACTTATAAGGCAAGGTGTTCTGGAGCCAACTACTCATGCTAAATGGTGTACTCTAATAGTAGTAGTTTGCAAAGATAACGGAGAAGTTCGAATTTGTGAGGACTATCGTAGTACATTGAATCGTGCCCTGCAGGCAGAGCCTTATACAGTGCCCTCTGTTTAAATATATCATCAGAGCTAGCAGGGGGTAAAATATTTTTTCTTCGAACATTAAATAATACATTTATATCAATATGTATCATCTATCAATTTTTATAGATTTTAAAAGAGGGTTTTAACAACGATCAACAAATATTATCCGAAAGTTCTTACCTCTTTCAAAACTTTGTATCCATCTTCTCCAGTGCCGCCAGCAGCTTCAACCTTCTCACTCTTATTCTTATTCTTCTGCAAAGTCATCTTGAACGAATTCTTGCCCCTTTTCTTATTAATTTTTATCACAGTCTTTAGAGTACCGGTGTATGAGTCCGCTGCCGCCTTTGACGTCGTAGCTTTGCCCTTTTTCCTCGGCTGCGGCGACTCTTTTGCCGCCCGTAAACTTTGCAACCCCAAAGCACCCAGGAAGCACTCCTTTTCGGCTAATTGTTCCGGAGATTCCTTTACAGCTTCTGTTTCTTCGGGCTTTTTAACATCTATATTCTCACTAGTTTTATCACAATCTTCTTTTTCAGACAAAATTTCTTGTCCTGTTTCATCCACTTTATCAGCTTGCTCAACAATAGTTTTAGCTTCTTCTGGTTGCTTAGTTGCTTCATCATTTTTTGGTTCTTCAACTACTGATGTACATTCATTTTTGGGTTCCTCAACTTCAACTTCACATTTAGCTTCTTCAACTGCACATTCAGCTTCAGCAACCGATTCCTCAACTGCACATTCAGGTTCAGCAACAGATTCCTTTATATTACACTGTTGTTTAACTTCAACTTCATCAACAGATTCTTCAACTTCAACTTCAGTTTCTTTAGATTCTGTTTCAATAACTTTTTCTTCTGTTTGAAGATCTTCTTCAACTTTCTCCTCTGTTTCAACTTCCATTTTTTCATCTAAACTCTGATTCAAATCCTCGTTACTAGTTTCAGGTTCATCTACATCATCCCCACTTAAATGTTCAATATGAAATGATACAACATTGTCTTTTTCCACAACAGCTATGCCAATATTTTCATCAACAAATGAACGTTTTTGTTCCAGCATGGCAACGCTGGATTCTGAAAAAGGCGGGCCTAAATGTTCTACAACGCTGGATTCTGAAAAAGGCGGGCCTAAATGTTCTAAATTTTGTGGTGGTTCACTTGACATGTTGTCTATTACAGGAATTGAATCGTCTTGGATTTGTTTTTCCAAAACTGGAGCCTCTTCTGAAGCTGCCTTGGCTAAATTTGTAATATTATCGATGCACTCTTGTATTTGTTCAGCAGCTTGTTTTTCTTCGGTTTGTTCCAGCAGTTGCCTCAATTCTTGTTCTTCGGTCGAAGCTGAGGTGCAAGGTTTTTCGACTGGTAGCTTGTCGTTGCCCATGTCGTTGAAAGCTTGCTTCATTATGTCCAGCAGGAGGTTTTTTTCTGGCATTTTTGAGTCGCAAACGTTCGAGTTTGTGTCGATTTGAGTGGGGGCGTTTGAGGATTCGTCCATTAGGAGACTGTCAATGTCCTTGTTACCCTGTAAACGTAAATAGTAAATTAATTTTGGAAGGAAACAAAAAAGTTACTAGATTTCCACAATTTTAATTAATTGAAACCGTAACATGAATTGATGTTCTTTGGTTTTTGTTTTTAAAGATCTTTGTTGGATAAACTGATATTCATATCAGTAAGCCAAAAATTAAGGTCGGTGGTTAATAAATTTGATGTGCAACAATCCAGGAAAGTAGGTAACTGTTAACCCCAACAAACTCATTAAACTAAATAATGAGTATAGTAAATCTGGGATTAAAACAGATCTGCCAAATGATATTCACTCATTATTGGTAAATAAAACATGGTCGTTAGTATCAAGACTCGAATATGAAAATAAAGTGGATTGTAAATGGATATTTTCCATTGAAAATGATGAGGTTAGAAAACCATTTAGATACAAAGCTTGCTTAGTTGCTTGTGGTTTTAGTCGACAATATTTGGTAGATTATAATGAAACCTTTACACAGTTGGCGAGAATCGTAGGTTTCTGGTTTATAATAACGTTTTTAATCAGTTTACGCTTTTAATACATAATATGGACGTGAAAACAGCTTTCCCGAATTGGACATTAAAGGAAACCATTTTTATAAAGGTTCCTGAAGGCTGAAGGGTGGCTGGCTCAAGGTGTGACAAGTATATCTAACCAAGTTTGTAAGGCTTTGTATCTATGGACTAAAACGAACCACTAGATATTGGTTTGAAATAATAGAAAAGGTTCTCAAAGAAAATGGGTTTGAAAATTCATTAGTTGACCACTGTATTTATATCTTAGACAAAGGTGCAATATGTAAAAATATTTTTCTACTTGCGTGCGCAAAGTCATCACTTTGCGCAACTCTTTGCGCACTCATTTTTGTTACGCATAATTACCATAGTTATACTTGATTTTTCAATGTTTTGATGGTTTCTGAATAAGCTAATATTCATAATGAAGGGTTTTAGTTGAAATTAGCACTTAGTTAACATGATGTTTCCTATCAAAGGTGTCCAAATTGGACCAGCCTGTACTGCTGGGAATTTGTACAATTTTTGATATTTGAGAGACTCTCATGAAAATATTTTAGCTGATATTCTAGAAATTCCAGAAGATGTTAAAAGATTTTTGGGAATTTAATTTAAAAGACATTCTAAGGAATTCCAATAGATTTTAAACGATTTTTGAAGATTTTGATTTGATTGATTTTTCTAATATTGTAATAATTCAAAGTCTACTTTTTTAAGACACTCGTAGAAAAAATATTGTTCCTAACACTTGCGCAAAGTGTCTTTCCCGCACTCAAAGCTTATCCGAACTCCGCTTCGCGTCGTTCGTCTAACTGCTTTTTCGTGCGGGAAAGTATCACTTTGCGCACTTGTTAGGAAAATAACTATTATGTAGTTCTTTATGTAAATGGTAATTTTTTTTTTTTTTTTTTTTTTTTTTTTTTTACGGATATGCGCACTCGCAAGGAAATGTCCTATCACGCTCGAGAAGCGGCAAGTGCGCGGAAACGGTTCAGGTTGTAACCTGCAGGGAAAACCGTCGCAGGGAGTTTATTCCACAGCGATGCTGTTCTCCAGAGATATGAATTCTGATATAATGAGGGTCTTGGTGCCTCTAGTTTGACAGTAAATTCATGGTTACCGTCTGTTTGACGGGTTCGCCTGGTAGGTGCTACTCTCGGTGGAATCATACGTGCCAACTCTTCAGAGCATTTTCCGTGATAGTACCTGTAGAAGAGAGATAAATCGCCCACAGATCTGCGATGTTCGAGACCATCCAAGTTACGAGTAAGTGCGGGGTCATTGATCAGCTTGATAGCTCGTTTTTGCACGGTATTCAAAAGCATTAAGGTATGTTTGGGTGCTGTACTCCATATATGTGAGCAGTACTCCATAGTTGGTCGAATCTGGGCTATGTAGAGTGTCAGCAATTGGCTTGGTGTGTACAGATGTCTTGTACGAAATAGCACCCCCAGCTTTTGGGAGGCCCTTTTAGCAATATCTGCCACGTGACTGTGCCAAGACATGTTGGTCTCTGCAGTAACCCCCAAGATGTTCAACTGACTCTGTAATGTGACAGCACTTCCAGATAGCATGATGTTTGGCTCACCGGTGCTGGTCTTTTTTGAAAACAGAGCTGCTTGGGTTTTTTGCGCGTTGAACTGTACAAGGTTTTTGTTACCCCAGTCCTCTATTATCTCCAGGTCGTTATTTATCTGCGATATTTGAGTTAGTCTAAGATGATAGAATTCACGTGCGGAAAGACCTGTGGGTGGTATGAGTGAGGAGACTACATTGCCATCGTCTGCAAAGCAATAAAGTGGATTTACTGTTTTATCTATGAGGTCATTTATGTAAATCAGGAAAAGAGTTGGCGAAAGGATTGCTCCCTGTGGCACACCAGCATTTATTTGGTAAGAGTTGGAGTTCTGGCCATCCAGTGCAACATAAATGGATCTGTCCTTTAGGTAACTTTCAAACCAAGTGCAAAGTTTCGGCGATAATCCCATTGCTTTGAGCTTGTTGAGCAGATTTTCATGCCAAACTTTGTCGAATGCTTTAGATATATCTAGGGCAATTGTTCTTGTTTCACCCCGCAACTCAATCGCTTTTTGCCATAAGTGAGTGACGTATGTAAGTAAATCGCCAGTTGACCTATATTTTCGAAATCCGTATTGCTTATCGTTGATAATTTTGTACTTTTCCAAGTACTTGGTTAGGTGATTGTTCACAACTTTTTCCATTACTTTTGATATCACCGGAAGTAGAGCAATTGGTCTATAGTTTAACGGATCTGTCTTTTTTCCTTTCTTTGGAATGGGTTGTACTGCGGCAGACTTCCATGATGATGGATATACTCCTTGCCTGTAAGACAAATTGAATAATTTTGCGAAAGTTGGGGTGAGTTCGTTGGCGCAATTTTTGAGTACTATTGCGGGAATGCCATCCGGACCCATTGCTTTGTTTGTATCCAGCTTTTTTAGGGATTTTCGTATTTCTCTGTGACAAAAGGGTACCTCTGGCAGTCTGGCATACTATGGGAAACCCTTTCAATGAACGGTGGAGTTTTTCCGTTTGGCACTGTTAGGTTGGAGTTGGAGGAAAACATTTGGGCAAGCATATTGGCTTTTTCCTCTGATGTTGTGGCTAAGTGATTATTTTTATCAACAGCTTTTGCAAGAGATCAAAAAGACCTAGAACTACTTGGACAATTCAGCAACCTGTTTTTTATTCTTTGATCGTATGTTTCTTTAGCGGAGTCAATAGTAATTTTGCAACTATTTCTGGCTTCTATAAATTCTGTGTGGTTTTGAGCGGTTTGTTGTCGTTTCCAAAGGTTATATGCTCTGTGTTTTTTCTGTACAGCCGTTTGACACTGGCTGTTGAACCAAGGTTTTGCATTAGCTCTACGTTTAGTTGTATGTGGGATATATGCGTCCATTCCAGATAAGATTACTTGTGTTATTTCATTACAGCAAATAGTGGGATCAGCTGTTTTAAAGCAAACCTCTTGCCATGGAAAATCTAGGTTTTAGGTCATTCCATTTTGCCGATTTATAGTGCCACATTTTACGAGGAAGTGGTTGTAGGCTTGGTGGGATGAGCATTTAGCACTTTGTTATTATAAGTTTATGATCGGACGAACCAAGTGGAGCATCTACTTGAATTGTGTACGAGTCAGGATTGGTGGTTAGGAACAAGTCTAAAAGCGCTGCAAATTCGCCCCTTTCTGAGATACGGGTAGGTTCATCGACAAGCTGCGTTAGACCACAACTTATGGCAAAAGCTTCTGCTTCTCTGCCTTCGTTATCTGTTTTGTTGTGGTGTTTCAGCCAGGGTATATTGTGGACGTTTAAATCGCCTAAAAAGACAATTTCCGCCTGTGGATAGTTTGACTGTATACTATCACAGCTTTCGGATAATGTCGCGAAAAAGTTTTGGTAATCGGTGTTACTTGGCGGTCGGTAGAGGCAGCAGATAAACTTGGTCGATGACTTTGAGGTGAATTTTAGCCATATGATATCAAGGTTCGCTGGTTCTAGCTTCTCCTCTCGATGACATGAAAGGTCATTTTTAATGTACACACAGATCCCAAAATTATGTCGAAATCGGTGGTGTAGGTCATAGCCGGGATAAAGATAGTTCACAATAGGTGTTGCAGAACTGATTTTAGTTTCAGTGAGAACAAGGATGTCAGGTCTTTGTTCTTCAAGATGTTGGTGAAGATAATGATACATTAAATAGTTTCAAAAGGTATTTGGCAAATAACTGTTCTATGGTTTATTTGAAAGACAATAAACTATTTTTGGGTATTAAAAGCAAAAGCTAATCGAAAATAAAATTACTCTTGATCAATTTTCACATAGGTATGTAACTACGTCATAAAAACTATTTCACATAAATTTGATATGCATGACTGTTGTGCCATCAGCTGTGTCAGCACTCCGCTTCCTTCCTGATAAACTGAATTTGATTGGTTTAAATTCAGAAGAAAAATATGATAGCCCTTGCCGTAATCTAATCGGCTGTTTAATGTATATTATGTTATGTATAGCAAGCCTGATTTAAGTACCGCTGTTAATATTTTGAGCAGGTATCAAAACAAAAATAATAAAGAGCTTTGGCAATATTTGAAAAGGGTCCTTAGATATTCTAAGGGTGAAACCAATGTAAATAAGTTGATACAATATTCTAGATGTGAATATATTAAATTCTTGAGTGATTATAGTAATCTTGACTAGGGAGGTGAGATGATATAAACAATATGAAAAGCACGACAGGATATTTATTTAAACTGTTTGAAAATTGTGTGATAGGTATGTTGGAATACAAAAAAAAGCAATTGTCAGTAGCGGCATCATCTACTGAAGTCGAATATATAGCTTTCTTTTTGAAGCTGTCACAAAGCCTTTTTGGTTAAAATCATTAGCAGAAAGTATACATAAATATTAGTATCAGAGCCAATTATAACCTAGGAGGACAACAATGGTTGCATAAGCA